AGACGCCGTGGTTTGCGGAATCAAAAGATGCGGCTGCCGGTGGATCGCATGCCTTTCGCGGTCGCAGTCGATGAAGCTCATTCCTCGTCATCGTTGTCAAAGTCAATTGTCCAGTGTGTTAGAGATCACCTAGATTCAACCTAAACCATATCTGGTATTATAAATAATATATATATATATATATACATATATAACAATATATATATATAACTATATATATATATAACAAAATATATATATATATATGATGTGGCATAACCCAACACAGTCGTTGCAGAAAAGATTTTTCGCGGCAGTCCAAAAGAACACCCAGTTTATAGGGGCTATAGGGTTTACGGTTTAGGGGGGGTTTAGGGTTTAGGGGTTACAATAGAAGGTCTAGGGTTTGGGCTTAGGGTCTAGGGATTATAAGGTTTAGGGTCTAGGGGTTATAAGGTTTAGGGTAGGAAGGCAAAGGGAGTATAGGCTCCTTTACAGGATTCGATAACAGGGTTTAGAGTTTAGGGACAAAGGGTAGATGGCTTAGGGTTTAGGTAAAGTTGGGGTTTAGGGCCGTTTAGGGTTGAGCGTCCAGGAAGCAAGGTAGAAGGCTGGGGCTTTAGGGGTTCGGGGCCCGTAGCAACAAGGGTATATGGTTTAGGGTTCTTTAGGGGTTTCTGACAATGGTTGATGAGGGTTCGAAGGGGGCTGAGGGGTTTCGTTCATGGGTTGCGGTCGTCTTGTTCGTGACGGAAGGTTCAGGATGTAGGGGTTTGGAGGTTTCGGGTGTGGGAATTTGGGCGTGGGGTGTTCCGAGCCAGGCAGAGTCTCTGTACTAGGGGCCTGGGGCGGCCGAAGTTGGTTTAGGGTTTAGGGTGGCTTGGGTTTGACAGAAGCCACTCAGTCAGCTGTTTGCTTCATTGTCTGCAGGTTGTATTATAGCAATAATCGATCAGTGTAGCATATTAACGATGCAAGACGAAACGGTAGAACCTAGTATGATGACTATACCCAAACCCTCGACCTTAAGGCACCCCTTACAGCCCCAAAAACAATCCCCAAACCCTCAGTTCAAAGTCAAGGACTCACACACAAAGCCAAAACCCTAAACCCTAACAACCTCGTCGGGCAGAGTCCGAGTTGTGAGAGCGTAAAGTCTAAGGATGTGGGCGCATGTCTTCATGGTGGCCTCTTCGAAGAGGAAGAGGGGTTGGAAGCTCCCATCATGGTGCCCCTCTTTGTGTTCTTTTCAGGTTTTAGGCATGTTTCGGTTTAGGGGTTTAGGGTAATGAGAGGGTTTCATATAAGGAAAGTATGAGGTCCATAAGTAAAACTTGCGTGAAGGTCCCATAAGGGAGAGAAAAAAGCCAACCATAAAATACAACCTCAGTATAACACAACAGTTCTTGTGGGCTGAATATTTGGACTACCGAATTTGCTTGTATGTATCGGAAAGAACACCAAGGTGCACATGGAAGTTCTGAGTGTGCAGGCTGTGAAAGCGAAGTGGGACATGAGCCACAGCTGCAGGATTAGACAGTAGAGCTCTGGGCGGTTTAGGGTGTAGGATGTAGGAATTAAGGTTGATTTAGGATTTTGGCATTAGGGTTCAGACTTTATGGTTTAAGGGTGCAGGAGTTAGGCTCTAGGCTTCAGGGTTTAGGGTTTAGGGAATTTTTTCAATAATCTGCCAACTAGGGGGCTTCAGGGTCTCGAAGCCCTGGACTCTTGTCCGTGGTGCAGGGTGATTGGAGACCCCTAGCCCTATATTGAAACCCTGAAGGAGCTCAAAAACTAGCCAAAAGTCTAAATTCTGGACTTCATCGGGTATGTACAAAGCCTGAGCCCTAAAAGCCGCAGCGCTAGCCGGCTTTTGGGTCTACGTTGTCGTTGAACCCTCGACCGAAAACACCTTGGGTCTGGAGCAACTAGACATTTGTTGATTTCGGGGTGTCTTGAACCGTAGACCGGCAAGGCTGAGACCTTCTGTAGCGAATCCGCGCCTCCTTCGAGCGAGTGTGCGACTCGAAACTGTAAACATCTAGGGTCGCAGACAGTCGTGCATCGAGAACCTGCCCCACCGGGTTGGAGGAACCTTGACTTAGGGGTTCACAACTTGTGGGTGTTGTTGCAGCCGTGCTGGATATGTACACAAGATCCCAGTCGGCATGTATCACCACTGTAATACAACACAATGACTTGGTGAAGGCTACCGCAGTGAGCCTCTGCACTGATCTGCACGGCATGATGCAGACAGAGGCAGAACTGCCAGCCGTGCTTTTTCCACAAGTAGCGGCGTCTAGCTCCCTGGCCTATTCACATGTTAGAGCATCCGTGGCCCTAAACCGTAAACAGCAAAGCCTAAAGCTGCAGAGATCAGCAAGGACCTCCGATGAACGACTTGAGAGGGGAAAGCTGCGCCGCGAGCAGGCCAGCTGCGGTTAAATATGAGGAAAGGGAGGGTCTGAAAGTTAGGTGTAAAATGGTGTCATGAAGAGACTGCGTCCAGGATCCCTCGAAGGCTCAAGGATGTCGGATTTAAAGTAACAGGAGTTTGCCTTCCAGGGGTTCAGACAGGGTTTGCGTGTGCATGTGTAGAAAAATTTTTTTATGTATTTACATATAAACACATGTGCCAATGTAGGAACATATATACATATATATATATATACACATATACATACATATGTATGTATACACATAGACATATATGAAGGCTTGCAAGCACTTCGCCAGGCGGTGGGAGACGTGGGGATCAATCAACTCAGAGTCCAGAGACTTGTCATTAGCAACATTGCTGTTGCCGCTTGCTGGTTGTTCGACCGTTGTCGTCGTCGCCGTCGCCGTCGTCATGGTGGTCACTTGTTGCCGTTGCTGCTGCTGCCGCTGTTGCTGGTGCTGCTACTGCATGGCTGCTTTGCCTCGATGTGTGTAACCATGACTAAGCTTCATGGTTTGACCCAACCTAAAGCGGCAAGCCCTAAATTTCGAACCCCATACCGCAAGCATCCCTATTTAACCTGTAAACACCAGACCGCAAGCCCCAAACCCTCCCCCGCCCCTCCAAAACTCAAGCTAGGTCCAGCGCGAGCCTGGAAACCCCCAAGCCCAAACCCTTCAATTATAGAAGCCCCAGCAATTAGCAGTGGTATCCCTTATATCTCCTTACTGTTACTACGTCATAAACTTCCCTTCACTCCTATTCTAAGTATAAAGGCCTTCATATTAAACGCATACTGTAGCCGTCATAGCCTTGCCTTATATTGATATATTGCAAGCTGCTGGCTCAGGCTGGACAGCTCTTCCGAAGGGGTAGAGTGCGCCTGGCCGCCGCTCACTACGAGACGGTGGGAGTCTTTGTCTCTGTTCGAATCCTCCGGGTTCAGCGGAGTTTGAGGCTTAAGGGTTTGAGGTTGTAAGGTTTGGGGTCCGGGGATGTTTGAGACTCTTGCCCGTACTCTGCCGAAGGAGACGCGAAGGGGGATGTGCGCAGAGCGATCGAGAGTTCCTATTCTACGGGCTTTTTTGTTTGTGTGTGTGTGTGTG